TAGATTATTTGCCTTTTTGCGCAAATGGCGTTTTTTAGTGCGAGCAAGTATTTGCCTTTATTAGCTTTGGATTATGATTAATTTATCAATAAAATTTCTAATTAATGGTCCATTGTGCTGGCATAAAACTCCTTTTTTCTTTTGTCAGTGACCACGTATTTACTTATGCGCATGAAAAATATTTTTCAAATTCCTTTAACTGATTTTTTTTCAATGCCAAAAGCATCAAGTTTAATTTTAAGTCGGCGCACAATTGAAGAGGATAAAGTTTTAATTAAACAGAAAATATTTGTTCAGTATTTATGGAAGGAAGAGCAGTAAAAGCCGAATATTGAATTATTTAGTGAGACGCAGCGGGACGCACAAGTGTTAATAATTGAAACATTCTCGCCGCGGCACAAAAGTTTTTCCGCAGAAAAACTTGTAAAACAAATAGGCGGTAAAACTTTGTTCTTCTCCGTTGTGGCCAATTAATAATAAATCGCGATCCAAAGGGGAGACTCAAAATCAACGTCTACCGACTAATGATGCGCCTCATTTGAGCGCCCAAAAAGCAAGCGGCAGTTCGACCACGTGTAACAACAAATTACCGCCACAAAAGCGAAAAACTTCCTAGATATCCTAGATGGCCATCTAGGACCTGCCACCCACCACCCACCAAAAGGTGAAAGCTGAAAGGTTAAAGGTTACGCAAGGTAAACGGTTGCCAAAACTCGGGAGTTGGGAGAAAAGGGTCGTTTTCGGGCGATTGTTGCGGACTTAGCGCTTGATTAAGCGCCCCCTACTCCGAAAAACCCATTCTGTACTGCTGATTGATAAGGCAAATTGGTGTTGGGATTGTTTTATGCATTCCTTGGACCGAAAAGTTTTTCCTTGGCTCATGCAAATTGTTTGGCAGCGGCATCAGTTGTATGAAATGTGCTATTTTTAATTAAAGCTACCGTCATTTCATATCCCTGTGACGGGATGTTTATTTATCGCAAAAAATAAGGAGGCTGGGGCAGCAAACTTTATTCATATTTGAGTTTCTGTAATTTCACCCGTTTCCTTTCTTTTTTCCATTTTTTTTTTTTTTGTTTTTTAAGCAATCTGACATTCTGAAGCCTTCCCGTGCAGACATATCCACATATCGTAAGTAAAATAAAGTTAATTTCAACAAGCTTTTCATATTGTAGGGAAATGCGTATGAAAACGCTTCCTGCGGCATAATTATATTTTCTAATTGAGTTACCGCTGACATGGAGCACGGGAAAATTTTGAAACAGAGCCCAGCAGAAGTGAGATTGCCTTTGGCAATTTGTAAGCCACATTTCTCGACTCCTTCGTCCTTCGTCCTTCATCCTTTATCCTCGTCCCTCCGCCTGGCAATCTGGCTGGTCCTGTTTTCCGGCCGAGTCCTTTACAATTCGCTGAGTTTGCTAATAAATTATTGTATGCCCGTCAAACTTTGGGCGCATAAAAAAGCAGTAGGCAATGCTTTATGTCGGTTATGCGTATTTCGCCTTTGCGCCATCTGATTTATGCCCAATGCACGAAAAGTGGTCCAAGTCATAATTTATGCTTGAGCTGCGGCATTTTCCATTGCTGTGCCGAAAACAGAACACAAAATCTCTATGCATTTAGATAATTGGTGATTTTATTGCCACAGATAATAATGTGGCGGCACATGAACTATCTCATATAATTCACGAAAACATCGCGGAACAAATCCCATTACTGAAGCCTTTTACGTTGAAGTCGTTGACTCTGAAAAGCAACTCAGCTTCTTTGACTTCCGTCTAGTACTTCGAGCTTCATGCATAATTAGAGCAGCATGTCTGCATAAATGAATAAATATATGTCATGAATCCAATCCTTGAAACTCATTTATATGTCTAGTGGTATTCATTCAGGTCGCATCTATGAAGTTGCTTGCGAGCAACTTCATAAATGCACGTCTGTTTATGTTTATGTTTTATGGAAAGCGGCTGCTCTGAAGGACATTTCAAATAATTTATCAAAATAATAAGTTGTTCCGCTACTCGGGTTCAAGTGTCAACACACGGAGATATTCAACTTTGAATCAACAATCGGGAATATGAGTAATATACTTTCGTAAAATAATTCAAATCTAGTGAAATAGTGTACGTTATTTGATAAATTGATGTGCAATTCCCTGATGTTTAGGGTTGACTGTTGTGAGTTATGTCAAATGTCCTTTAAAAGGATAAATTCATTGTGTAATTGTTGGTTGCACCTTAGCGCACAAGAAGCCAATCGAAGCAAGTACCAATATCGTAGTCACGGCACATGATTTACAATTATTGAAATTCGTTAGCACACTAATAGAGAGCAGGGCTAATTAAAACACTTAATTTGCGGCTAAAAGCTCGTCTTTTGCATGGCAGAGATCCTTGGCGAAACCCTATAGTTACATACCTCATGGGCTGTTTATTGAAATTTATGGAGCGTTTGGCTCCGGTTTAACCAAGTTGAGTACTTTATAGGTTTGGCAATATGCGGAATTTATTACTTAGCTTAATGGCCAATGTCGGCAATGGATTAATGCAATGGGATTAAATCGAATGGCTCTGGGCTCGGCAAAGAGTGGTGGCGCATTCGGCACTAATAAACTGAATAAGTACGCTTGCTTTTGCATCAAGACAATTATGCAACCGTATAAGTTCGAAGTACGAATTACGAATTGCTGAATATCTAAAGGAATCTCTGCAAGTTATTTAATTTGTTAGGCATATTTCCGGCATTTCACTTAGCACGCAGCATTTTGAATATCAGGCCAAAGTAACACCGCAATTAAAAACAAAAATTAATTTTAATTATGCATTTATTGCGCCGTTTCAACTGATTATATTAAAAATTAATTCAATTTAAAGCTGGCCAGCTTAATACCCTTTACGGTACGTTTTCACATCATATTAATTAACGCATACCGCGCGTACAAGTGTTAAATGCACACGCGTATTTCATTGATTAAATCTGAGGGCCTGCCATAATTCAAAAGGGTATACCACTAAGTCCAGCAGGCTTACGACTCTGCCCTTGACGTTAATTGCCTATTAATTTGCAGCAACATTCCGGGAATTCTATAACCCAATGAAATTGAATGCTCAGTTGCGAAGTGTCAAGTGGACGACAGAGGGCAGTGGGCGAACTCCAAATGGAGATGCGAAAATGCATGTTTTATGGAAAATCCACTCGACACTCGGTGGGGGCCAAAAGCCGATGATAGCAGGCTACTAAATCAATAAAATGGTCAAGCAGTTGGCGCATAAGTCGAAAACATAAACACATAAACTGCTGGCCCATAAAAGGGAGATTCCATTTCATTGGTAAACAAAGGCATTCCTCCAGAACAAAAAAAAAAAAACACCGAAAAAAAAACCCAAACAATCGTATGCGGGCAGAAGAGACCCCTGGCTTTTGTTAGTCCTGCTGAGCTTTTATTGTGTTATGCTGGCTGCTGCTTAAAAAGCCAAATAAAAGATATCTCCTTTTATCCGATCCCCCACGAGCTGTCCAGATAATACGCCCATGAGTTGGCGAGATGGAAGGCTGTCCAAAATCAATTTCAGCCGAGCGACCCTCATTTCGTTAGCCTACTAAATTGTAGATTCATGACTACCAATTTCTAGGGAATACACCTTGAACTAGTCCCCGTGGACATGAAAATCAAATGCTGAAGTATTGTGAAAAACGATGGACATTAACCCGCGGAGTATACCTATTCTATTGCCATTTCCAGAGAACCCATCCCAATTACCTGTTTATACTATATACCTTAAATGAGTCCAGTGGACAAAAAAAATCCATTGTGCGTGATGAAAACTGGTTAGAAAGCCAAAATGTAGCTAAACGTTACGATGGAAATTAACCCGCAGAGTAAGAGTGTCACTACTTTATTTGTTTCCATTCTTTTTTTACACTTCACTTGAAGTTTCTTGCCACATTTTTTCCTTCCTAATTTTGTGTCATTTTTTGTTGACAAGACAATTTGCCAGATACATAGCATCGTGAAACACAAGACATAAGACATGTAGCACATATGTACACATGTACATATGTACAAGAAATAAAATATTAATGCCTTTGATCAAAGCGAAGCATACCGTAAAACTTGCGAATTATTTCATGCATACAAGCGAAGCGCCCAAAAAGGAAAAAGTTTTATTTTGTTTGTCTGTTTGTTGGTCCAAAAGTCAATTTATGGTTTTCCACCCGCATAATTTCGTTTCATTTTCTGTTGGGCTATTTTTTTCCCATTTTGTTGGTTCATGCAAGTGAATTATGCGAAAATCGTGTATTTGTTAAGGCTCCTTTCAGAGGTTTTACATTTCGTGTTGTTTAAACGAAGGATTCGATTAAATTATTTTAACCATTAAATATGTTTTCAATTTGCGCTGACAGGCGCACGTCAAATTTTTACAAGCCGCTTGACAATAAAACAACGAATCGAACCTATTGAAATATTCGCTTGACTGCCAACTCGCCTATGCTAAATAAATAAATAAAATTATTATGAGTAGATTGAATTGAAGCGTGCATAATATTAAAGCGATTATTAAATTATGAAATACCTTGGAAACACAAGGGGCGTAAAGGCATCTATCGGCGTATTCTTAGAAAATACCTAGCATGGTGGGGCAAAATAAAGCATATTTTTATATCGCCGTTTTAGGATGAGGTAAACTGCTGACAGCGCTGACCAGAAAATGCATCGCCAAAGCCATTTATCAAAACTAATAGCCGCCCAGATAAAGCCTGAAAAAGTGGAAAACGTTGGGGCAAAAGTAAAGCCATTAGGAGGAATGCAACCAGAAATAAGAAAGGCAAACTAGCATCGATGAAATAAGGGAATATCGGCAGCTGGGCAACCTTTTGAAACACCATAAGTGCATGCTTAAGCTGGAAGATAAGCAAGCTAGGAGTTTTCTAGCATTTACTTCAACATAGTGTTGAAATATACAACCTACCCAACAAAGGAGTTAGAAAACCTCCAAGAAATGGAACCTATAAATGAAGAGCTTCCTGGTGCAAACGGGTCTCACAACAATAGCCAACAACCCAGATGTGTTGTTTTTGAAAGGAACAATCCTAATATTCCTAATCAAACTAAACAGGCACTCAATTTACTAAGGAACTTGGCCAATGAGTTTTGGAAATGGTTTCTCCAGAAGCTAGACCAACTCCTGAGCCCAAAACTAAGACTAGCCGACGATCCTCAGCTTCTGGAGAGGATCAGCCAAGCGCGGGGCTGGAAGACCGCAGCCATCCGGTTTATTGAGTTTCATCCGACCACCTCATTGATGGCACTTCTGACCAACCAGGATGTGGTGTTGATCTACGACCAGAGGAGCGAGTGCCCCGCCAAGCTGCAATCCCTTAAGCAGACGGACACCACCTGTGTCGCCTTTCGTCCTTGGTCCCAAAGTTGTGAATTGGCCGTGGGATGTGCAGCAGGAATTTGTTTATGGCAGGATAGTCGGCGTCTCAGTGACAAGCTAAATATTCGGCATATGATGGGCACTCATCACTTGCAAGTCCTGGAGGATGAAGGGCACAACTATGTGACTTCAATGCAGTGGAATGAAGATGGCACTATCCTGATTACTGCCGCATTGGGCTCATCGCACATCACACTCTGGGAACCGGACTGCCAGCAGAAGATTCGTTTGATACCGAATCCTGGGAGCTTAAGCTCCTTTTCCCTACTGCGTTATAGTCCCGATTTCCAGGTGCTTTTTTGCGCCTCCTGCGAGGCGGGTGCCAGTCTTTGTCAACTGAATAGATCGGAATGGAGGTCGAAACAGGTCCTCATGCAGCATCGCATTCAAACGGCCGTCTGGACAGCGTGTGGCTCCTTTCTGCTCTTTGTGAGGGACGGCAGCACTCGGGTTTACTCATGCACCAAAGATAGGGAGGCCACTCTTTTCCTCTGCCCCCAGCCCCTGTGGAGCGTTGAGTTGGTAATCGATCTACGGGATGTCACCATCTGTGCCGGCCAGCAAAGGTACTGCGGTGAGCCCCAGACGTTCGCCATGGACCCACTGGGCATCTACATGGCCACCATCTTCAAGGAGCAGTCCTTTGTGCTGCTGGCGCTCTTGGTTAATTTGCGACTGGGCTCGCTGCAACTGCTACCCCTGGAATTCATTTGTTGCAATGTGGATGGCGACCAATATCCAACTTGCATTGCCTTTGGAGTTTCCAATCCGCAACTCAGATGGTTGATGATTGGCTGGAATACCGGGCACATTCAGCGACATGCCATCACTGCCAAGGACTTCAAAGAAGCCCAATTAATTCATAGCTGAGAAATTTATGCATACGAGTATACTAAGTTCCATTTTAAATAAAATAAGCGGCGTTAATACAACTTTATTCGGAAGCAGCATTTTGCAAGCGAGCTATTAAATTTCCGTGCTCCTACATGAATATTCAACGGAAGCGCTTATGCAAATTGAAGAGAACTTGCATCCCCCGAAAATCCGTGAATGTCCCTTATTCAGCTGGTATTTTTATTCACCTGACAGCCGGTAGAAAGTAAGCTTAATGGCAATAAATCTTTGCCTCGATTTCTGATTGCAGAGCGAAAAATTGGTTTTACACAGACTTTACACAGACTCTTTTGTACTTGATGGTTTTTATTCCGTCACGAGGCGAAGGTTATGCAATTGAAAATAATGTTATATTGCTATCTTGCCAGCCAATACAACCGATTGTTTTGCCAAAAATTCCATTTGACATACGACTTTTTGCCGCAATCGTAAGATTAATATGTATTTATTTGCTCTATTGGGCTATTATATTTTTGGCTTAAACTGCTCTTTAACGACTCCCTGGATACTAAATTAAAATGACAATGGACAAACCGGGAAAAGGAAAACAATTTTAATGCAGTCTAACGAGCAAATCTCAGAGGATATGGACGATTCAAAGTCAATCTGTAGTCTAATGGAAATTGATTTCATGCTTAGAACTTGCTTGCTGGCTTAACTGAGGAAAGGAGACATTTCTACCGGTTTTTAAGTAAATAATAAATAAAAATATGCAACGAATTCCCAAATTATCCTACCAAGTAAATAATGAAGAAAGACGCCACAATCAAGAGAGTTTACTCACTTGACTATTTCAATATTGACCAACCAACAATGGACACAAAAAGGGAGCTTAGTAGCAATAATGTGGGGAAGCAAACGGAGGCAAAAACTGCAAGTAAAATTGAGTATGGAACCACATAATCGCAATCTTTAGATCCACTCATCGGCAAACCAACATTGAGTTTGGTCTGCAACTTTCCCTAGGTAAACAACTTACAACCAAATGCCTTTCCTGCCATAAAGTAATTTCCGAGAACTGAGAGATATTACGCTGACCAAAGCGGAAAAAAGCGCAAAAACAAGAATGCAAATAAGCTTCGAACAATGGCAGAAACTCGTGAATCACTTAACATCCAAATACCATGGAAATTGGAGCATGGACCATGGACCACGGACCATGGACCATGGAGCACAGAAGGCAATATGAATGTCTTTGTTGTGGATTCGTTTGGGTTCCATCTATTCATACATTTAGCAGATCTAATGGAATTATCGGACTGGCAAGACCTAACTTTGCATGCCTGAAAAATATAAAGTTTGCTTAAAAATAAACATTTGCGTTTCGTATCTTAGAACCAAAATCAAATAAACAAAATGAATTTTTACTGCCCGCATTCCAAAAAAGCACACACGAATCTTCAATAATACTCCACTTCCTGGCATAAAAAGTCTGAGGACCATACATTAAAGTTTAATGTTGGGAGTGAAAATGTGTAGCCATAAAAATCATTTAAATGTTTGTTTTTCCGAGATCCCATCCTCTTTTATTGTCACGTGTGAAAATACTTTGGGGAGTCTGACAAAGCCAGCTTAAATTTTAATAGATTTGTTACAATTCTGATTTGAAAAGTGCTTGGAAAATCACATGACTAGCTCTCTGACATGACCACTTTATATTTCAGATGAAACGCAGTAAAATATGCGAGGCTTAGAAAATACCAGGAATACAGCAAGTAAGAAACAAATGTTATTGCATATTGAAAATACCCCGCAATCAACCAAATCCATATTTATTGTTTTAGCCAATTCGGCTCAAACATCAGGAATACAATTTAATGCAATGCATGCGAGTCCCCGAATCGGCAAAGTTGGCAATAATTTTGTGCAGACGTGGTTTAGGCCTTGAAATGCTGACAATGTGGGTGTTGATTTTTGCCATCAGTTTCGGGAAAAACTGTAATAACGCCAAGACTCAAGATTCGAGAGGGCAAATGCGAAGTACACGCTAGACATACCAAATAACTTCACTTCTTTTGTGTGTGAGTGGGTGTCCTTTTTACTTGGGGGACGTGAGATTATATTCGCCCAGCCCGGGAGACTCCAGGATATTGGGGGATACTTTCCGGAATGTGAGTGTGTCAAATGGCGTAAACGCAGAGCAATCAGCAATGAGGCATCAATAATTCTTAACGCGTTTGCGGCACTCTCGGTGCTTTGGAATTCGCTCCGTTTTCATCAAATGATCGGAAAAGCGTCTCGACCCATTAAAACTAAAGTTTTTTCCACAATTTTCCCCGTTTAACTTTTCCCATGACCCAAGCGATGCCTGCGGTTTTTTGATTTATGGTGCCACTGGCGGCACAGCAAAATATGCCCAAATATTTCGGCCTCTTTGTCTTCAGTCGAGTGTTTTGTTTCGTAATCACGTTTTTATCTTTGGCTGAACAACTCATGTATACCACCGACAACAACATGTTTTTTTTTATTTATTTTGCTGAGGCCTCTCACGTCACGATTATTTAAAAATGAAAATGGTGGCACATGGCGCATCGAGGAAAACTTGTCTACACGGCAGTAAATAGAAAGCGGCTTGCTGTGGAAACCGATAATTGACAGGCCAAAAGATTTCCAAGATGCCGGGAAAAACAAAGAAAACGCCTTGGCTAATAGCTAAAGTAGAGAGTGGTTGACTTTAATAGCCCGTAGCATTCTAGATGCTGGGTGTTGCCAAGTGCAATTGGTAATGTAGCCAAACTTCTGAAGTTGATGTCACAAGCAGGCCAACAGCTTTTCATGTCCTGTCATATTTTGTGCTCCAACTTCTGGGCGAAAGCTTGTGAAATGTGTCCGATTGCGAAACGAGCAACAAAATGCGCTTAGGTGAGTGGTGAAAAATGTGTGTAATTTTCCACAGAATCTAGTTGCTTATTTACAGTGCAGTTTGGAGAGCCGAAGTCATCACTGCGTTAAGAGCTGATAAATGCAAACAGCGCACAAATGTAGACAATAAAAAAGAAACAGTTTTTTTTGGAAAGCAAAACAAACAAAATACATTTTCACTTTGAGCGATAAACAAGCCGGAGCTGTTTTATTTTCGGTTTAATTAAAATTTATGCACGTTGAATGCGACATCATAGATTACAGTTGTTTGAAAGCCCACACAGGACTTGGCCATATATTTGCATTTTGCTCAAAAATCAATGGGCCAACTATAGCCTTTATTTGCTTTATTCTTTCAGGGGACTGCAAAGAGTCAACAGAAAACGGGACGAGCGGCCAAAAATAAATTTCCAGCCGCAAATCCTTGACAAATCTGCTGCATTGGCTTTGGCGGCGGTCCTTCGAGATAAATCTTTATTGCCTCATTTTGCCTAGAGTCGATTCTATTTCTATACTCTGCCAAGGGGCGTGTTCGAGTTGGCCGACCGTTTGACATTTCAAAGAGCATTGCAATTGGTCTTCTTTGATAATCACTTTTATTTCTCTTTGAATTCTAAGCAACTTGACACTAACCGAAATATCTATTGAGATTCTCATTCACATACGCTAAGCTTTCTTTACCACAGGCCACATGAAAACTATATTTTTTATTTTCTAAGAGTTACTTCAGTTTCTTCCTAGCATTCTTCCCTTTCTTGTGGTCAAAACTAACAGAGCTTGTGGCAGTGTCTTGGGACTTCGGAGTCGAATGAGAAAATGGCTCAGAGAGATAACATGGCTGAGGAAAAGCCCGCATTGAAACGGTAGTGGGCGATGGCAACACGACTACATCAGGACGAAAGTTTTCCGGAAAAGGAGGCGAAATAAAAACTTTAAGTATTTCAAACAGCCGGGGAGAAGCGGAAAATATGATATGTAAACGGGTAAACTTATATTCGTGACCATTAAGACTCTGACTCTCTGTTGAGCAAATAGTACACAATTTTTTAGCTACTTCTTGTACATTTTCATGGGGTTAAAGAATTGTTCTTTTGTGGAAGGTGAATGAGCGAGAAAAGGCGAGTATATTATACTTACATTATGAATGTATCTCCGGCATGTGAGAACCCAGTCCGCGCACCTTGAGTGTAATTTAAATACAACCGAATAAAATTATGAAGTGCCGGATACGGATGCTGTGCAAACATACAGCCACGACAGAATCCAAAACTTGATGTTTACTTTTCCGCAGCTGATGCTTTTCCCGCCGCTTGGTTGGCTTTTCATGCGTAGATGGCTCACACAGCCTCCATGCTTTATTATTTTACATTATTTTTAACGTCGAACTTTGGGCAGACTCTTCCTTATTATCCTTTGTCCAGCACGGAAATTAATTTAATTACTCGTATTTTGTTTATTTGGCATTTCAGGGAGCTTTTAATTGCCGATTTGCATTAATTGTCCGCTAATCAGGTGCAAACACAAACATAAAGACGACCCATCCTGTTCGAAATGAATACTTATAGCTGGTAAATAATGTGTAGTGTATTTGCCGGACTACAGCTGCAATTGAATTGAACCTGATTCGAATTCAATTGGGAAATTGAATTCGCATTTGATCGAGTTTGCATGGAACTATATTCAATTGAGTGCAATCAAAGGCAAGATTGTTTGCCAACATATCGGTATGCTGGAATTCAAAGGCAAGCAAGTGGAATATATATTCGGGTAATGAAATCAAGAAGTGGGGCGTATGATTCACTATCAGCCTAATGAACTTAAAGCTCAACGGATACTGTAAGCATCTATGCAGCGTATGGAAGCCCCTGAGAAATTGCAATATAAGCTAACAAATTGCGCATTTTGTTGTTACTTTTTTCTTGGAAAACTGTCTGAAAAATGCGCGCATATACTCGAAATGGTAAACCAATGTATTGCTGCGCCTGACAGGCTGCAATAAAAAAGCGCGCCCCGCACACAGAGGCATAAAAATGGCCGGGCAATGGGAACCGGAAACGGAAACGGCAACCCCCCTCTCTAGCATCAACCCCCCCCTGGCGACCTGAAAGCGAAAGCCCGGGCAAACCGCTGATGTTCAAACAATAAAGTTCAAGGGTATTACAAACAGGCATTCGCAGCCACACACACTACACACACCACGCGTCTACTTAAAAATGAGTAATAGGGTATTCACATTTGCTGGTTTGTTTGCTGCATGCGCCCTGCGGTGGCTCAAGGCCCACTTTTGGGTCAAGTTGGACTGGCGATGTTTGCTTTGGGGGCTAATGGAGCCTAGTGTTCGCCATCAGCCTGTTTACCGAATTTTAATTATGCTAATGCGAAGCGTAAGCAACACCCCGAGTGTAAGTATGCACACACAAGTTCGGCGCGCAGGTGTATTCATCTGAATACTCGTACGCTATTTAAGCTCCTTTGAATACTTGGTAATGGCCAAAAACAAGTTTTCCCTGTTTGCTTGCGCTTTTCTTTAACTCTACCTGCTGTTTAATTACTTTAATTTCCGCAACTACGCGAAACAGGCGGTATTATCTTTTGCGTTCGCTAATTGGAAGGAATGCACTGTAATTAGAAGCGGATTAGTGGGCTCAACAGCAGTCTTTTCCCAGGTGAATTCCAATTGAAGAGTTTTAGATATGAATCGATATTTGTGGTTTTTAGTTTATAGCATATCTTTGCTTTATATTCACTAGCCCAACTTCTTTTATACTCGTATGAAAGTGCTACAAAATATTTTCAACACATCAATTTTTCACAATTTAAATAAATGAATTTATTCTATCTGCATTCGAAATGCCACATGAAATATTAGTTGGCAAAATAGCCGCGAAATTCAAATTTATCATTCCAGACGGAAGCTTTTAGCGCAATCATTTTGCTATTAAAAAACAATAACTAAAACTTTTAGCTGATTGATGGCCTAACTGCCGTTGAATGCCACTAATCAAAAAGGCCACTAATTTAACTAACGACCAGACAAAATAAAAATGAAATGCACTTTTTTTAAAACACTTGGGATGAGTAAAAACAATTCCTGAACGCGGCATTTATGCATAGCGGTTGAGTTAGGTCAGAACCGGAAATTTGTTGATCTGTGTGGAAACAAGATACATTCATAAACGCCACAAAACTCACAGTTTGTTCAATTACAGGCCACAGCACACATTATTTGCATATTCAATTTCGCACTCGAACAAAAGCCCGACTATTTTTTGTTAATTGAAATGCGCGAAGGATCACGTACTGCGGCGAAATCGCGGACGAACCGAAACTTGGCCAGGATAACGAACCGCCAGGATAACCGCACATATAGCCAGACGCGAAAGTACTGAAACGCAGCGCCCGGAAGAAGGCAACGCCTGGCATTCGAAGGCGCAACAGCATCTGGAATCCGCAGGACAGGGTTGTTGGCGACGAAACGAGCGAGGACGACGAAGGACGACTAGGAACGAGTGTCCTTCGGTTGGATGCTGTTCGTCTGCCCGCTCTCTTATCACATCCTGCAGATTCAGCACGATTGCCGGCCGAAATCGAGGCCGCTTAGTCGTTCAGTAGGTCAGAAACACATCTGCGTTCCACAAGGACAGGCGCGTCCGGAATATTGGGCACGGCTATTGAAGGCAATCTGGAGTTCGTTGTCCTTGTGTGGAAATGATCAATTGAAATATTTTCCCAATTCAAAATGAGCTTGAACAAGCAGTTAACGCTGATTACTCTTAGTTCATTGGGATGATTCAAGTGAGATATATTGATAAATATATTAGCATTATAAGGAGCGACCTTTCTTTGAAGTACCGCAGCCCTTTAGAAGTCGCTAAAGCTGCTAATTTAATTATACATGTATTTACTAAAACTCTTTTCGTCATTCCGTTCGTCCTTGACAACTGGAAAATAAATAAAAACATGTTGGCAAAAAAAAAACTTACCAGAAACGCAGTCAATTGTGAAATCTCAATGGATAAAAGTAATAAATACGATATGATTAGCAGACAAGTCTTTATGTAACATGAAGTGCATACGTATATACACGGATTTGATGGAAAAAATGACGGGGTAAACAGTTGAAAAACATCATGGCCGCTGCTCGTATGACCGGTTAAATGTGTAAGACATTTACGAGCGTTTGAATTTGACAGATTTCTTTTATTAGAACGACAGACAGCGTCAAAGGAACTGGCGAAGCACTCATGCGTGCAACATCCGAGTGCGGCTGCTTTACTCGTATATGCCACACCACATATATATGTTTCAACTGCGAGATTTTCGAGGAGAGTTAAATAAAAACAAACAACCTACAAGAGCCCCGGGCAATTGAAAACCCTATGAAGACATCACAAAATCTTTTATGCACCTCACCGCTTTTCAACTCAACAAAGAGCAGTTAAATGGATTAGGGGTTTTTAAACACCCACTTAGCTATGCACTTTTTCTGCACATTTAATACCCCTCACTCGTGGAGTAAGAGGGTATGCTAGATTCGTTGAAAATGCTGTAACAGGTAGAAGGTAGCCTTATGAAGGATTACTCTACCCGAGCCAATTTCGATCGATACGCCAAAAAAATGTTGAATTTCCTAGTTCGCACTGCCACAAAGGGTATGGCAGCAAAGGGTATCTGATAGTCGGGGAACTCGAATATAGCGTTCTCCCTTGTTTGATTCTTGGTATATGTTAAGCACACACAAATGAATTAGCCAGACAAAATCAGGCTCTTGTCGTTCGGTCGGGAATCATTCTTTGGAAGTCCTTAAAAAGTTAGGCATTCCAATCAAGAAACCATTGTTTTTAGTGAACATGGCCTTGAATGAGCTGGCGAGAAAGCTATCAAGGACATCTACATATGTACGTTGTGACCTCCGGAAGTACTTGTAACACTTGAAGTAAATATCGTATGACTGCTTCTATCAAATGCTCCAATTAGCAATCGATCGGCAGCTTTCGACCCCTCCAGAAATCAAAGGCGCTTATTGAACTCAAAAAAAAAAGTGGATAAAAATGGGGAAAAAATAAAATCATTCCCCTACCGAAACCTACTTAACAATGCACGCTTCTCATCGTCAATTAAGTTTAATTGCCCCAGCGAACCACTTGAAATATGCATACAAAGTGAGCTGAGCAGGGGCATCATTGAAGTACACTGCCTGCTCTCCACTTTTCCGCCGGCCAACATTAGCAGTTTCCATTTAACAATCAATTTATTCTCGCAATATTTTCGGTTTTGTGCCGCATCCATACCCAGTGCTCCTGCCACATCTCTTGCCCCAAGAGGAGGCAAGTTTGCAAGTGCTATTTTCTTCCCAACTCGTTGCATATTCATTCGAATTCCGAGTACCGAGTGCGGAGTGCGGAGTGCGGAGTGCGTAGTGCGGAGTGCCGAGGTAGGCATCGCCTGTCTGATATCGAAGCAATCCAAACCCTAATTGGCTGACCTCCTTGTGCGCAGTGTACTGTTGCATAGTTGCACACACAGCTCCCACAAAATTGTGCATAATGTCGTAATAACTTGTTACTTTCCAACTCCTGTTACACTGACTTAATTTAACAATGTCCAGAATAGGGTTCCAACTGTTACATGCGATTGAAAAGAGAAAGTCACAATAGTTGCATACAATATCTCGTTTTTCTATTGCAATATTTAAGTATATGTAGCTCTCTTTGTAGAAACTAAACATGACTAGTAGAAAATATTTGGAAATACATCATATAGGGCTTTCTCAAGTACATTTAAGACTTATGAGTATATTAACTAGAAGTGTATAAGTCGTTCTTTACGAAAATGAAATGACACAAAAGCAGTACACATGCACTGTAGAAACCCTGTATGAGAAAATTATCGTTAAATTTGCGAGAAGCAGCTAGATCTACCATTTGCTGGCGCCCTTCTCCAGTAAGCCACGGAATACGGAGCCCTCCAGCTGCTGGAGCTCCCTGGGATTGCCATCCTCCACGATGCGCCCTTGGTCCAGCACAATTAAGCGGTCGTAATCCAGAATAGTTGTCAGGCGATGCTGCGGATAAATAGTAATGGTCATATCACAGCTGCTCTCGAGTGCCGCGATTATACATGTGCAAATTGACTCACAGCAATGGTGATGATAGTGCGACCCCGGAAGGCCAGATCCGCCGCCCTGAGGAGCGCACTCTCCGTGCTGCTGTCCAGGACACTTGTTGCCTCGTCCAGGACGAGGCACGCGGATCCCCGCAAGATGGCACGTGCCAGGCACAACAGCTGCCGATGGCCAGCACTCAGGTTCAGCCCTCCGTCGCATATCACCGTGTCTGCGGGACAAAACAAAGCTAATTATATTTGATGCCAGTGGTAAAGCTTTAACAGACCAGCATTCAGTTAAATTTATGGTATCCAAACCTATATGGTACCTAAAGATACTATATACTTCGTGGTACTATCGCAAGAACTAAACACCTAATATGCATTAATGTTGTGCTTGGAATCAGATACTTTTCGCCTTCATGACTTTGCCAACAGACAAATGCTGCAGCCAAGGACAGCAAAAGCCACTTGAAGGAGCGGTTGTTAGTTCTAAACTGGTAAAAAAGGAAACCCAAAGAGGACGTACGCAAGCCGAGTGGAAGGTGCCCGTTGACAAACTCCTTTAGCTGCGCCAATTCGAGGCAATTCCACAATTGCAGGTCCTGGAAGTAACCGTGTGGATCGAGGTTTTCACGTATGGTTGCGTTGAACAAGTGCACATCCTGCGGAATTATTGACAGCCTGGTTCGCAGCTCGTCTGGTCGGATGCGCTGAATGTCCACGTCGTCAATGTAAATGTGGCCCCCGGTCGTTTGTAGAACACCGAAGAGGGACAGTCCCAAGGATGATTTACCACTGCCAGTGCGACCACAGATGCCAATCTGTAAACGGATTGCGAGGGGATTGAATATAGTTGCATTCTAATGAGTGTCGAGTGTGTAGAATCAGTTGCATCCTTTCATATTTGACCCAAACAGCATGATATTGTTTTAGTTATTTTAGAAACTTGCGAGCCAGATGCGACTGCCAAATAAAAGCATTCCCTTATTCATCATCAATCAACATTTCAGTTTAGAACAATTAAAAGCTATTAGACGCTTTGGCAGATTCTTTGTAGCGTTTTTCCAGTTTTGTGATTTATTATCTCATCATTTTTTAAATACTCGTATATAGCGAGCACAAATGGACTGCAAAAACGGGCTTCACCCCCTCTTGTTTTCCATGGATGATTCAATTTTAAACTTCAATCAATATGGCTGACATCTGTTTTACTGATTTTGCCATCCAACCAAAGTCAGCGGGTCCTTACTCCATTTTACAAATCAATAAAAATGTTATATGGCTTTTGGATTTTACTCACCCGTTGTCCGGCGGGAATTTTTAGTGTTAGATTGCTGATGACATTTTGTGTCTGCCCTTCGTATCGCAGACTAACATTATCGAAATTGATATCACCTCTTTGTGGCCACGAAATTGCCACACTTTGATCTGAAAGTTGAAAGCAGTAGGGTTTTTAATTAAAATTTGGTTGCATGATTAAAATGTAATCTATTTATGCATTCCAAAATGCATAGTTCTGTATGGGCTGCTAATCACCCAAACTTATGTTATATTGTAATCAAATAACCCAAGGACAAGCATCAAAGTTTGTTCAAAATATTTTGGAATCCCAGTGATGCCAGAGTTGGTTGGCCAAAAGTGAGACAAACTGGGCCAGAACTTACAGCGCTCGAGCTTCCTGGCCGGCTCATTTGGCAAGTCGACCTTCTCGTCCTTGTCGTCCTTGTCGTCCTTGTCCTCCTGCTGCGGTGGCAGTTGCTTATCTTTAATCACCGACGTCTTTGTCGTCGCCTCCACCTTGTCGCCAGCTGTCGCCGGGAGGAGGTGGAAGTTTAAGTGATTGCCGTCGCCGGTTGCATTGCCTGCATTTAATTTATCAGCGTTTGCCTCAGCCCCATTTCCATGTCCCTGCCGGGTTCCGCAGGCACCGCCACGTGCTCCTCCATTCCGGTGCTGGTCTCCATCTCCGTCTTCATCAACATCACTGGCAGCTGTCGTTGCGCCTGGGTAAACTTTGTCACCAGCATTCGACTGGGACGACCTATCGACTTCGCCGCTCACATCCTCATTGGACGACGGGTCCTGATCCAAGTCCGCATCCGCATCCGCATCCGCGTCCTGTCCCTGGGCATACTGGGCGATGCGTTCCACGGAGCCCGCATACATCTCCATATCAGCCAAAAGTTTTACAACCCAATTAAGGTAAATCGGCACCAACAACGTGTAGTTTATGGCCAGACCCACCAGCGATGGCGAAGGTCTCAGCTCCGACGAGCTCTTGGTGACAGCATAAGTTTCGGATGTGGATGTGGATGTGGATGCCTCGTAGTGCCTCCTGCAACTGACGCTCGCCGCTGTCAATGCCGTCACGGTGGCCACAAAAACAATGCATCCACCCAAATAGTCCTGCCGGAAGAGAAAAACATTAAAACAAGCGAGTGTGCGGAGTGTTTAAAGAGATGAGATGGTGACCCATCGCTGGCGTAGATGGTTGAGGTCTGGTTTCGCACTGAAAGTGGTCCACCACTGCCAGTTATTAGGCTTTTATAAAAAATGTAAAAAGCAGCAATCTCCTAAGAAAAGAGTGCAGCCTTTAATGGTAAATCTACTTTCGGTTGTTATCGAACAGCAAGAATATTTAGAACTCAACTATTGGCTTCCCAAAATGTTATTTAAATAAAGTTTTTGATTAAAAGTTTTGTATTTACCAGAGATACTCCAAGCCATCGATAGCTGGTGTTGAGCAATGCATAGGCGATTGTGTTCGCCTCGAGTCGTTTGAAAAGGATTTCCGTGAATCTAGTCTGCTGGTTAAAGGCTCGAATCGTAGTCACCCCTTGAATGGTCTCCGAAAGATGGGATATGACGGGCGAGTTAGTTGCGTTTTCAATCCGCTGTAGTTCCCTGAAAATGAAAATATCGAATATTACGCAAAGTTGCAAAACTAAAGCAGATATACTGCTCACCTGGCTGAGCACCTGTAGAACTTCTGTATGAGGTAGTATGCTCCACAGATGGGCAGGGTGAGTACCAAAATCCAGGGTGTGATGGTGACATTTATGAGAATGGCCGACAGGCAGAGCAAAGTGAATTGCAGCAGGCGTTGTCCTGTGGCTGCAATTTTCTGAGGACATAATGCAATATGGCTATGAATTATTTAAGATACAGGCCACTGGCACATAGGTCATGGTAGAAGAAAAAACAAAAGAGCAGGCTTGTGTCGAGTGGAGCGACTATTAGATATCCTTTACGCAGCTTTAAGATGGGTGAGAAAAAAGCATGTGGTGCATGTAGCTCTTATAAGTTGCACGTAGCTCTCGGTGGTTATACGGACAGACGGACGGACAAACGGACATGGCCAGATCGAGAGCATATATACGTATTTTTATAGTGAATATATTATAGCCATACGCTCTGCGAGTAACGAGTATATAACGAGTGAAATAAATCCGTGCTTATCCACTGGGCAATCTCCATCAAAGTGGCGAACATCTATCCACTTTCGTGCCGGAACAAATGAATATGGGGGGCATTCGATGGCTAAAACAGAGGCTGGATAACAGAAATAACAAATCTCACCTTATCAATGACGGCCATATCGTTGCTGAAACGATTCACAATACGTCCGAGCGGGGTCACTTGGAAAAAGTGCAGCGTTTTATGCAAAATCGTTTGCAGCAGCTTATCGTGCAAATTACGACGGGCATTACAGCCGGCATATTGTCCGGCCGGTGTTGATACCAGGGCCATTATTATACAAACACACGAAATGCCAGCGTACATGCGAAAATAGTACGTGACTTCGTGGTCCTGCTCCGGTGGATGGAGCACCTCCTGGCCCTTGGACGCGGCTGCTCCATGGACATCGCTCCACTGCTGCAGCCAAACGTCCGTGTAGACACGCAAACACTGCCAAATTAGTGCGGTGATAAAAAAGATGGTGATTATGGGCAGGCCGGCGGCTCGTATGTACATTAGATATATGTCGTCCGATATTTTCCCATATTTGCGTTCCGTATCAATCGCCATCCTGGCCAGCGGCATCGATTCTCCGCCGGATTCACCTGCCTCGTCCAGCACGTGTCCTTCATTGTGCTCCTGGGCGACCGGGGATGTCACGTTTGCCCTCGATTCTTTGTCCGATGCTGAATCGCAATTGTCATCGCAATTTATTGTGGTTTCCTTCGAGTCAATATTTACGCCTGATTTTTTGGAGGAGAAGGGTCAGGATGTGTTTGACAGGCCAAAAGAAGCTTTATTATTTGTGTGCAGAATATGTGTGCAAGGTTATGTACATGCTAAGCAACACAAACTTGGGCAATAGAAAGAGTTAGGCCCAGGATTTCGTAATATTTATTATATATTTATTAATTATAAAGAAAAGCTATATAAAACAAAGATTTAAATCTATGCTAAGCCCTGATGACGCATAAAAGACCAAACTAAACTCATATGCAATTTGAGGAGCAAAAAGAATAACTAAAGTTGCTTTCAATGAACTTCTGATTGACTTTTAATTGGTACTAATATGTTTTGTACCTTTTGCAAATGCCACATGGGCCCACATCAATTAAACCATGCTGCCGTTTAATTGAACAAGTTCCGGCGACAAACTAATTGAAAGTAAAGTTTCCTTGGCGTCTGCGGATTTGCCTAGCAAGGCTAGCAAGGATCCGATGGCTTCGATGGGCACGATGGGTTCAAATGGAGTGACACTCGCAGCACTGATTAAATCGAAAGTTTTCACCGAACGAACCCGCTGACTTATCAGCCAAATATTGATAGATCAATGCATCGAGTTGGCCAAAGTTTCTCCCTTGCAAACTTTTCGCGCCCTGGAACACTGTCTCTTTGACTTACCGCTCGGGAGCTCAAAACTTTTAAAATCAAAGTTGATTTAAGTTTTAAGCTACACGCATGCATCCAGGAGTAAACTAAAGGATGCGAAGTTCCCAAGTGTATTGACAAAAAAGCAAAGGACGAACCATTTTCTTCGCCCAATATTATGGCAATATTTTGTTCTCAGTTTTCCCGCCCGGCTGCATAAATTTTTGCTAATCAATATTCATTATTGAAAATTTCCAAGACGCAAGAAACCGTACATTTTCATTAAACTTAATTCGCTTAAAGTCTAGAACCACTATACAACAATTTCCTTGGTTAATTACTAAGTTTTGCACGGAATTAAATGAAACTTGCATACTCAAATTTATAAATAAGCAACCAAATGGTTTTGAATTTTTATTGTAACTTACATTTTTTAAGCTTTTCTTCTGGCTGCGATTCGTTGTGAACAGATTTGCTATTCTTACTCCCATCTGTCGCTAAAATCGTGGCACGAAAATGTACAATGGGCGGAGACTCCTCAGAAATGCTTCTATAAGAGGAATGTAACAATATTATTAAGAAAGTTTATTTAAAAAATGTTATTTATGTTTTCACGGTGTTGCGCAGCAAGTATTTCTCTTACAGAATGGAGTTTGTGGCACTGAGTGGATGATGATGGTTTTTGGGCTTATTTGAGCGGCGCATGGACATTCGCCGCAGGAACTGCTGAAAACTGCCTCGAACATGGTCATCCAAAGGACCCTCCGAGCTGGTATTGGACCTCCTGGCCTCCTCCGACTTCTTCACGTCCGGATTGACCATCTCCATGGCTGGCGGAGAGGAGGCGTTCCGTGACAAAGGCTGATGGGCAACATGCTGTGGCGGTTGCCAGGATTGAACTCGTGGTTCTGGTGCCGCCGTGGCCAAATCACCACTGTCATCCACACTGCTCTCCGCATAGCTGCTGCAACTGGTGGCCAGCACACTGCGGCTCAGCACATCCCCACTGGTGGAACTGGACGCAGAAGTGGCCGTCAGGGTGCTGAGGCCACTCAATCGGTGCCAGGAGTTGGTGGTCCGACTGCCACGACGACTGAGAGTATGCCGGCGGCGAGGTCGCATGATGACATCGTCTCCCTGGCACTCGTCGATCGGCAGGGGAATATCGTACATCAGATGCCGGGATCCATAGCTACTGGAACGTTTGCGCTGCAAGCTGAAGCCGCCACAGGATGCATTGCTGATGGGATATGACTGCGGGTGAAAAAGTATAGATGGATATAATTAACTGAATGTATCACATAAGCTGGCTTCCAGTACCACAGACACTTGGTCATCCTCCTCATCCTCCTCGTCCTGCTCGACCACATTCAACTGCATATTAGCCACCGATATGCAGCCACTGCATCCATCAGTCGTCTCCGTGTGGCATGCAGCATTCGCATCCATCGACACCGAAATAGAACGCTGTAAGCCCAGTCTGCTCACATTCCTTAGCAATTTCCACCGCTCACCTGCTGTTTTTTCACCAGGACTGAATATGTTAATGTGTTATTATTCGAATTCGTCAGGGGAAGCACAAGTGAAGTACTTACTTTTGAGAGGGGTTATCCTTCCTGGCCTTTTCCATCGCAATAACCGCGTTCCATTCGGCGGTAATTCGCGGTTGCACCAATTCGATATCCGCATAGCTGCCACACGCTTCTACACGGCCATCTTTTAATGCAATTAACTAGAGGTTGAATATGAAAACTGTAATTAATTTCCTAGCCAATTTTGTGCACTAAGCAACCGAAGAGTAGGCCAAGTAAAAAACTTATAAAATGTGTATTGGCTGATAAAGGACTTACGTATTCTGCCTCCTTGATGCGGTGCAATTGTTGAGTCACGAGGATGAAGGTTCGAGTCGACTTTTGTAACATCTCACGTATGCAGTGCTGAAATATGTGCTCGCCCACCTCGTTGTCAAGTGAAGCCAATGGGTCATCCTAAACAAAATATAGGGATTTCAAGATTATTTTTTGAATATAACCAAAGTATATCTTCATGTATAAAGTAAATATTCATATAGAGCCAATTAACCGCGTTTATTAAGTTTTAGAGCTCGACATAACTGAAACAAATTTAGTCTCCCTCAAGGTATTTGAATGATGATCCCTTCGGGCTATTCGGGACCCAGCATCTTGCTGGGCTGCACCCACCGCCTGAAGTCCTCCACTAGGATGCCTTCTTCGAGGGCCTCATCCTCCAAAGTGGTTCCCTTTAGGTGGGCTGCCCTGGCGATCGCAGCAGATCGCTCGTAGCCAATGTGGGGACTCAGAGCCGTGACCAGCATCAAGGACTCCCTGAGGATGCTCTTAATCTTGCTCCTGTTGGGCTCGATGCCCTCGAGGCAGTTGACGCAGAAGGACTTCATGCCATCGCCCAAGAGGTTAATCGAGCGCAGAACATTGGAGGCTATCATGGGCATAAAGGTGTTCAGCTGAAAGTGGCCACAGGAACCACCCATGGAGACGGCCACATGGTTGCCCATCACCTGGGCGCAGATCATGGACATGGCCTCGCACTGCGTGGGATTCACATTGCCGGGCATGATGGAACTACCTGGTTCGTTCTCCGGCAGATTTAGTTCCCCAAGTCCGCAACGTGGTCCCGATCCAAGGAATCGTATGTCATTCGCTATCTTCATCACACTCGCCGCCATGGTGTTGAGTTCTCCGTGCAGTTCCACCAGGGAATCGCAGGCGGAGATGGATTCGAAAAAATTCGGTGACTCCACAAAGGGTAGAAATGTTAGCTCGGCTATCCGCTTGATGCACTGCTCAGAATATCCCGTCTTGGTGTCCGCCTTGGTGCCCACAATGCTGCCGCCCATGGGCAACTGGTACAATCGGCACAGGGCCGAGTCCAGTCGCGCCCTTCCGTTCACAAGCTGCTGCTGGTAGCCACTGAACTCCTGGCCGAGGGAGAGAGGAACTGCGTCCATGAGATGCGTTCTGCCGATCTTGATTAGGTCCATCCAATCGTGCGACTTCTTGCCCAGCACATCAATAATGGTTCTTAAGCTGGGATACAGCTTCTCCTGCAGTTGCATGGCCACGGCGATTCGCACGGCCGTTGAGAAGGTGTCATGGGAACTTTGTGCCATGTTGACATGGTCATTGGGGTCCACCGGCTCCTTGGAACCCATCTGGCCGCCCAGGATCTCGATGGCCCGATTGCAAATGACCTCGTTTACGTTCATGTTTGTGTGCTCGCCAGAACCATCCTGCCAAATAACCAACGGAAAGTGCTCCTCGTCATAGAGCTTGCCCGATATAACATCATCACAGGCCTTGGAAATGGCATCGCACAGGTGCTCCTCCAGGCAATGGATTTTGTTTGTCTCCGCAGCTGATTTCTTCACTATGCCCAGGGCTCGTATAAGGGGTCGCTGTGAGTGCGGATACCATAAGAATCTGTATTTCAAAGTCAACACTGTCATACTGGCATTCTTTCCTCAACTCCGCCAATCGGAAATTTCACCAGGGATCTCATGGTCTGCGGTCCGAACATCCGATCGAGAGGAATGTGCACGGCACCCACCGCATCATATTCAACTCGAGTATCTGGCACTACCAGCCGAGCCAGCTTGTACATCAAACTGAAAATCTCCTTCTGGTCGAAAGACATTTTGGAAATTTGTAATGTGTAGTTTTACGATTAAATGTGTAGGCCCAAAAGTACAGGCCACGAAAAGATGACTCGATTGTGGTCTGAGATATATCACAGAGGTTTGAAATTCCATGTTTAACATTGAATACAAATAAGATGTCTCATTGCTAAATGAATGCTAGTCCACATTTAGCCCAATAGCCTTACCATTATTTTGTTTTAAGCATATTTACTTACCATAATGACCACATTAGCCGATGAATATATAGCTCGAGCTATGGCAATTCGCTGCCTTTGTCCTCCAGAGATGTTTATTCCGCGCTCCCCGATGATGCTAAGATCCCCTCTGGGCATTAACTCAATATCTGGCTTAAGGGCACAGGCATCCAATACGAAATCATATCGTTTCGGTCGAAAGGACTCTCCGAAAAGTATGTTCTCGCGAATGGTGTCGTTCAAGAGCCAAGGTTGTTGTGAAACATAGGAAATAGTGCAGGTTCTGGGTAAAACAAAATTAAAATCAATTAAAATTTAACATTTGCTTGGGTTTTGGTCTGCCTCAGCTTCGCTTAATTGCTCTTGGGTTTGCTTTGGCCTTAGACTTGGGCTTGGTTTAGCTGTAACTATGCTGTGGATTTGAGTGGATTTACTTAGTCATTTACTATGGACTGTGCTTTGCTTTGGATTTGGGCTTCGATTCGCTTTGAGCACGCTTTTGGTTTCCTTTGTATCTGGTCATGTCCGCCTGGTCATGTCCGTTTGTCTGTCCGTATGAACATGAAGATGCGAGTTGGTATTCAACGGAATGGCTTTTGCTGAGTAACAAACTTGATATGTGTACGGAACAAGCTTTTATGTTCTAAATACTGAATGAGTGATTTTCTCTGAGTTTCCAAGTTAAATTAAATGTATTTCAGGGAGTATGTATTGAAGAAGCATAAATTTGCAAGCCGAACGCGGACGGGAAGGGAAGCCCCGAATATACCACGGAAAAAAGCGTACTCGAACTAACATAGACATTTATTACAGTAATTGAAATTATTGCACATTTGCCGGTTGCCAAGATGCAGTAGGAGATGGAGATGGGGATGGGGATGGGGACGGGGATGAAAAGAGGCTGTCGTCCTGAAGGAAGCACTATAAGCAAAGGCCGCAGGATCGCATTCGAGTTCTGCTGCAAGGAGCAAGTCTGCGTTTCCACTGCGCGATTTCCATTTCTTAAATGCATTTGTATATGCAATCCTTGCGCCCTTTTCTCCTTTTATTCTCCCTCCGCCAGACGGCTATGCCATTTTTATTTTATGTGCAATAAAATTAACAACGCACACAGGCGTTTTGTGATAAATTACGGAATCACGTGGCCCGCATTGAAACGACTGTTAAAATATGTTGTATGACTGCGGCGGATTCGATTGCGCGCCAGCAGCCACTAAAGTTTAAACTATTCCACCTACTTTCTTCGATTTCTTTCCGGGAAATGGGTTGACCTAATATCGCCTAGCACAGATATTTGCATCCCGAAGTAGCAGATGAAGGCTGTCGTATGTTTTTTAAGTTATAATAACTAAGTAGTCATTTTTGGATTGCAATATAATTTCACATTTTTCTATTTATGTACGTACCCGTGCGAGAATAGTTGAAAATTATGCAATTAACTTGATAAACAGCCAAACAAACTTATCCACTATGTTGCGTAGCTTCTGCTGTTTGCAGAACTGAAAATAAGCACATAAATAGCTAAGCAAATTTACAGGGGCCGTGTAGTCTGGGTGTTCTGTGTTGACAGACAAGGAAACGTGCTTAATCTTGGCCCCAGGAAATTGAAAAAGGAATCCTATGCTTAAGGCAGCCAACAGTGCTTTAAATTGAAACATACACTATTCTTAAATTTGTATAAGAAAGTGAAATTTTAAAAGACCTGCAATGGAAAACTAGACGTCTAAGGTATTGGTATCCGTTATCCGTATATGGATGCGGCTGAGCGGGATCCCCTTCCCGTGTGTCCGCATGTCCGCATGTCCGTATGTCCGTATGTCCGTATAAAAGTCGGGGAACTCGACTATAGCATTTCATCTTGTTTTAACTATGCTCGAGGCAAGTAGGAGTTACCAAACACCAAAAATGGATTTAAACTAAGAAGAACCACATTACGGACTACGTAAAGAGCGAAGATTATAAGCAGTTCACTCACTTGTGCCAAAACATGTTGCCTGCGAGAAGCGGCATCTCCATGAGGAGCGCCGATAGAAGGGAAGTCTTGCCACTGCCGTTTTTGCCCACAACTATGGTTAGTTTTCCCTTGGGAACGATGATGCCGGGCACATGCAGTTGCACCACGGGCATTTGGCTCTGTGGATGCCACGTGAAGAGGCCGTCGTTGATCGATACGGCAATGTCATCGGGCATTTTCAGCAGTAGGGAATCACGTCGCCAGCTATCCGTATTCCTGGCCCGAATCACGGAAAATTCCACGGGTCTCTCTATCACACTGCCGCGCATTTTCGGAGGCCGAATGGCCACATAAGGCGTATTCCGGAGCAGTTCCCTACGCTGCTGCACTAGCTTGTTGTGGCCCACTTCCAGGGCAGCGGATGGGGATATGTCTCCCGCGGATTCCTCGGCATTTTGCAGCAGTGGAGTGGAATTAGTTGCGAGCTCAGGAGTTTGCGACTTTTGAGCCAGACGCTTTTCATTCAGCATATTTTCCGCTTGGGCCGTTCGCATTGTCATATTCGATTTCTCCTGCGTTTCATACATATCCAAGGAGGCATCGCTCTTGCTCAAGATTCTGGCCATATTGCGTATGCCCTCGAACTGCTTCTGGATCTCGCTGGAGTTTAGGAACCGCTCCAATCGACGCGTCGATACCCTGGCCGCTATGATAATGGGCACTGTGATGGGGAATATCAGGAGCGGTACTGTTAGCTGCTGGAACAGTGCCAGCGAGGAGAACAGCCGACTGGCACTCAAATCGAACTCCTGATCCCGATGCAACCACACATAAACGCCGAGGGTAACGAATGTGATTAATACGGTGGCAATATGTGTAAGCACGGCTAATATAAAGAATAGGGTTTATTGTTAACACAATAGGACTTTTCCGGGATCAGGTCAGGTCATACGTACCCATTAGGGTCCAGAATGTCGCATCCTTGTTGAGATACTTGAGTTCATTTCTTCGCGCCTCCTGAATCTTTTTGAGAAATACCTCATCCCAGGCATTCAGTTTTATCACTTTAATGCCAACAAGTGTATCGTGTATTTTTTTTAAACGCGCATCGGTATACCCCTATGATAATGCAAGAACTTAATATAATTTACGCTAATACAATTTTATTATTTAGTGAGTACTTGCCGCTATGACCTCTGCGTTTTTTGACATTTCATTTCCGATGAAGAACTGCAGGGGCGTCATTATCACAATGCAAACAATGGATCCAATAACTGCACTGATTCCCAAATTCACATATAATAAATATATGACCACAGCTATCTGAAATAAGCAAAGTCGAAGTGTAAGAACATATATTATATATACTAAACAACAATAAAAACAACAATACTAAAGAACAATAAAAAAGGTCCTCAAGTCGTTTGCCTAAGAATTATTACCAAAATAGCAAATAAATATTTACAAATAATTCGAAAGAGCAGCTAAAAAAGCTATTTTGAATAAAATCAAATTTATAACCCGACTATTATAGAGCATATTAAAAACATTTACATTCGCCTTTCCAGTCAAGGATTTCTCAGACAGGCAATGCGATAAATTAGACTCGTGTTAGCGGGCATCAAATGGAGCCCAAATGGCACACAAGTTGCTCATAAATTGTAAAAACGATTAGCCAACCAAATGGCCAATCTCAATACGAACCTTAAACGGAATGGCCCAGGCATAGTGGATGATCAGGAAGAATTGCATAATGTTCAGGGTGTCCTCGGTCATGTGGTTGGTGATGCTGCCAATGTCGTGGCTGACATTTGGTTCTGAAAAGTATCGAAAAGAGGTTAATTATGCGAAAAATACTGAGATTTGCATAAAAAAGCAGTCAAATAGAACATAGAAGTAAGTAACACAATCCGTAGTAAACTTAAATATAAGAAACTATAGACCTATAAAAATAATATGCTATTGTGCCACACTCCAAATGGTTCTTTTGAAACTTTACTGATTTAAATTTAGCAAAGAAGATTAATGTTTTTTCAATAGGGATTATTATCAATCGGATTTATTCTACGACTCCCTGATTTACTGGCTCACCACTTGAAGTGTCCACGTGCTCTTGTGTTGCCATGGATTCATCGTTTTTCTGTTTTTCATCCGGAGCCGGAGATGTTGACTGAACTTGCCCCGCAGAATCATTGCTATCGGAGCCACCGCCCGCCTTTAGGAGCAAACTTTTTCTATAAATTAGACCCTGTAGGGACGTTTTAATCCTGATGCCCGTCATGTTGAGGATGTGCGTCGAGGCCTGGGACAGGGCGCCCTGAGTGATGGCGGCCAGCAGGACAATCCAGGCAATGCACCATCCATTCGCCAGTAGATCCGACCAGGTGCTGCTGTAGATTCGCACTTTATCGATGTTGGTGCCGTACACCTCGTCGATTTCGGTGCCCAGGAGTCGGGATTTGGACAGCAGATCGGTCACCTCATCGTCCTTTGGCTCGGCAGCCTGGGCATAAAGTTTCTCGATATATTCAACGATGTTCTGTATGGCCAGCGGTCCAATCAGGGCAAATAAATCACCGGCAAGCTTCAAAATTCCACCCAGAGCAAACATGTGCCAACTGTTCTTTATATAGCAGTACCACAAGGATGGGGATGAATTTGACTTTTTCTGAAAATCAAACTTGTAAAAGATACACGTATGTGTGCAGATTCATTGGGCGGTCTTACTTTTTTCTCAGTGTATATGTACAAGAAGTGGTCGTAATGCGATCTGGCACTATCCTCCAGCTTCGTTTGACCCAGATCCTCCAGCTCCAGTGGTTTCTTGTAGCCCAGCCACAAAAGAGGTGTTAGCCACCAAAAACAGGACTTGGAATAAAATGTGGCCAGTGAGTGCTTGTAGCCTATTTTGCCATAGTCATCCAAATAGTCGTCGTGATAGCACTGTGGGGTGGAATTTGTATTATAATAATTAGTTAATTCTATAAATCACGAGGGTCCTGTGACAATTGTTAAAGCCAAAAGCCCGCTGCTATATCCGCCCATCCAACATTTTGTGCATTTAAATATTCAACTCTTTGGTTGAGCCTTCATTTCCTACTTTGCTTGTTGTCCTGGGACTCATCCTGTTGCAAAGCCACAAGCTGCATAGCAAAAAAAAAATAGACAACGTAAACATTTTTGCCAAGTATGAAAAGCATTAAGCGCAAAATCTCCACTTAACCCCAATTAAAATTTAAACATGCAACTCGCATTGCTATTTCTGGCTTCCTCTGTTGCGCCAACTTGCATTTATAAGCGGAGCATTTGAATCAATTCGTTTTGGCCATTGAAATAATCACATTATTTAAATAAAACAGTAACAGTTTTATCATTATTTTAAGCTTTACACAATTCTAACCTGATTATAGCAAACAAGAATTTATTTCCCAATTAAACTTAGTGGTGTGTTTTAGATTAAATAATATGGAATATAACTTATTTTTTAGTTAGTTAGTTACAATTTATTTGTGTAGCATTACAAAATCGAATAGTCCGCGTAGAAGCCAGAACTTCAAGATCATTTTGAATAAATGAAACAACGCAACGCTTACCTCTTTGTACACCGTAAGTCCGTCCAGCAATGCCAAGGACCCCATGCACATGGCAGATATGGTCACCAGGCACGTCTGGAGCTCCAGGAAATCCTCGTAGCGACCCAGCTCGAAAAGCTCATTGGCGAGCAGGGCAAATGTCAACGCCTCCACCGCGGTGCTGGCGTATAGGAGCACTGAAATGGGGGGATGGATTGATGGGACACGTGGACAAGGAGCTTGTTTAGTGGCCCGACACTCACCTGTCGCCTTCTTGCGCTCCACAATGCGATGGTAGAGCATTAACATGAGGGTCAGCAAGGTGGAGCAAAGCGCATTCCAGAGCTCTCCCGATCCAATTACAACCAAGTAATTAAGATCCCTGGGGCTCGAGTGGAAAAGGCGGTTCAGGTGGCGAACATTTTGGTCGGGAAGAAAGTTCCTGGCCAAATCCAAGCTATTCAGGGCCAAAAGCAGCAGGGAGATCGCCGCCCGTCCATTGTGGAACATTTGCAATGTTTTATGGCATCTGCATTAGAACGTTGGAAGTTAGCAAAAATGTGGATATCACCTATCCTGATGACTATATATTATTTGTGTCTAAAATAGGTGGAGATCTGGTTATCTGCAAAATTCGATATATGACATATAATACCCCTGCTGAGCCCAAAACAACTTTTATAGTTGGGTATTAGATCCCCCTAGATCATTTCTTACGTAGATCATAGAGATCCACTTCATAAAATGGGATAATAAATCATAAAAATCATGCTGCTATATTTCTATAATTAACTGCAGTTGTAAATGATATTGATTTTGTGTATCAGACTCGTTCGTCCGCATATTTATTTATAAGAATCCGCCCTTACAGCAAAGTGCAAACCAAACAGCAAACCAATTGAGATTTACCCATTGAGAATACTTTGGCACGCGATGCGTTATTTTTCGAATTTGGAATGCCAAGTTGATTATTTTTTAATTTCGCTGCGGGTTGCATTGGATTTTCAATGGTGTACAGATGCACTTGAGTTCCGGATATCAATTATTGGATTTTAAGTGCATTTCGAAAACGTAAGGGGAAGATAATACATTTTATTTAAATTATATGTGTATAGTGTTTCTTAAAAGGAAATAACTATGTTCTGACCTTTAGAAATGTTTATAGAACACAAAAGTTTAAGATACAGTTACGAAAAACTTTTTTGATCATAACATTTTCACGCTTAGGTCTCGGTTAAGCAAACAACTAGCAACAGCCACTCATGTATGCTAATCAGTTAAAGTGCGTGCAAAAAAATATAAGTTATCTACTTAAAAAAAGTTTCATTTTATTTTAGGCCATAAATGCTGTCTGTGTGATTTCTAAATGAGGTAACACACTAGAGGCCCCAAGTCATTTCTCCAGAATTTGAATAATCTACAAAACGCATGTGCTAAATTTAAACAAATGTGCTCATTTGAATCTCAAAAATATATGTACGTACGCCTATACATTTGTACAATTTATTTACACTCTTATTTTTGCCCTAATTGAGCAAGGAGTAAACTGAACACCAAACTTCTGATGATAATCAAACATATTGCATGACATTTAATCCCATTACATTTGACCTTATTTTTGCACAATTTAAGGCAGAAATTCGCTAGCTCAGCGTAAACAAAAGTGTATGTTTATACTTGACCGAAAATAAACAAATAAAATTCAATTCGAATTGTTTGAGTATAATGGCAATATGTATTAAATCCCAATAATGAAAGAAACTCACTTTTTGTATCTTCTCCAAACAAATATCCATCCGAAAAGTAGCAGAAATATGCTGAAACACGTAAAAACACGCCTCACACGGTCAATGCCACAAACATCTGTATTCAAATTATCATAAATAGAGCGTACATCCCCATTTAAGTCATCGCAGTGTATTATATTGAACAACTGCTTCATGATGGCCAATAAAACAGGAACTTAAGGCCAAAACTGTGTGCGCTAGTTCCGGTTATTAAACTCTGCAGAGATTTCACTTTTCTGATTTCATTTCAAAACATTTTCTTTGCATTGCGCATATCATTTTCTACACTTCTTTGTATTGCTCACAATTGGATCGAGTCTATAGGCGTACTCTTTGAAATCTTTGCGTACAACAGGTTGAACAGCAAATACAGAATCGCTCAATATAAACAAACTATTTCGCAATCGGGAATATGGAGTGCAATGTGTGCTATGCCCCCCAAATCCAATCCAATCTAATCCAATCCGATGTACGTATGTACATGGATAGATCCAAAATGAATTTCGTTTCGAATTGACCAGCGACCGGCGCGTCCCCAGTTGCCATTCAATTATTATTCTTTTAAGTAATTTTTGTATAAACAACTCAACACACAGATATGTGGCGCACGTTTGCCGCGATTAAGAAATCTTCGCGAGAAGAAAAGGCCAACCGACTCCGACCGAGCGTGGCGGCACACTAAGCACACTCTCGCACGCCGGAAAAACCACGAAGAGCCAGCCAGCCGCCCGAACTCGAGAAGATAGTCCAGTGATCTGGATCTGGGGGATCGCGCACGTGCACGATGGCAAAAAGCTCTTCCCACATCGCCCGATTAATGGGATGCCAGCCACTGATACCAGCAACCCATTTATGTGGCACCAAATCAAGTTGAAGCAAATCACAAGCCATACGCAATTAGCAAATTACCCAGCTTATAGTTTGTTAAACTTTTAAGAAAATCGAAGATTGCATTGAATATTCCTAAAACAAACTGAGAGTCGATCCTCATTTATGTTCTTATTCTAGAATGTCACAATGGTTTATTTTGTTTAAATTTCGTAAGAGCTTAGAATAACTTAAACAAAAGTATAATGCCTAAGATTTAATCTGGCCTGCCTTTATATCAAAATACATACTTGATTTTAGAGTGCTTAAAGATTTCACTACTGGCCATAACTCGTATTATTCTTTGGATTAATATTGATGTAATATCCTATTAGGAAAGTATCTAACCATTTAACCATCTAACACTGTCATAACAATTTAATGTCAATATAATTCTTTCAAATCCTCTGTGCAGATCACTGGTAATATAAACTGATGACTTGTGTACTTGACTAACACTCTTTTTTACCTAGAAGACATTTTAGTGAGCTAGCAGCAGTCAGCGGTGGAAACAAGCTCCATGGAGGACCTAAACGGAGGAGAAGTAATCGCAGCTGCCGCACATGTCGTATAGGTGTCCCGAAGCGGGTTCGATGAAGAATCGTAGGGCCTGAGTGCACTGAAGCTCATGGCTGGCGATTTGCTGTTGTAGCAGCACCTGAAGCTGTTCCATGCTCGCAGAGTGCTCGAAGCGGATTCCACACTCGCAGATGAAGGCACCTTTGTGGTCGCGTAGGTTTTTAATCTGGCAAACTGGGCACAGGACATCCTTTTGCTGCTCATCTGGCTCTGCATAGAGCGTTTCCAGGTTCTTTTCGCCCAGGGCATACCACTCGTTTACATCTGAGAGTAGCTCCTGCAGGATCAGCTCCTCCAGCTCCACATCCTTCTCCAGCTCACTGAGTTCCAGGCGCAGGATTTCCCTGAGTTCGGACTGAAGAAATTGGTTGTGGTTATTGATGGGTTTACTATGGAGAATTCTGTGCCTTACCAGTTGGATTTCGCGATTGGCATCCGTGCATCTATTGCGCGTTTCAATGATTCGCTTGCGGTATTTCTACAGGGTATTACGTGTTAATATATAAACATTTTTTAAAGGTAAATCGATGTCTTTACGTCTCGCAGCATTTCGCGTAGTCTCGGCATTTGCTTGCCCATCCGCTGTCTTTTGGCCACATCTTGAGCATGACGCTTTTGCTCCACGGAGGTGTGATAAACCGTGCTTTGGGTGGAGTTCATTGCAGCTAATTTAGGTATATTAGTAATCTAAAAAGTATAGGGTATACGAAAATAATGTAATTTAAATCTAGCATATAAAAAACAACTGTATAAAATAAAGAGTATAAAACACAAATTAGACAATATAGGCATGCAACCTATAAAACATCTAAACATCTGTATTAATGATCATAAAAGCTGCATAAACCGATTAATACATCTAGGGTTCATTGTTTCAACCAACTAAATTAATTAATTTATCGTTAATGTAATGATATCATAATTTATGAATTAATATCATTGAAATTAAAACAAATGTAAATCATGAACATTGAATATGTGTATAAAGCCTATGAAAACAGCGCGTATGGTGAGCGACCTAAGCACCTTTAAAACACCTTTAAATACCGTAACTGGTGAAAGGCAAGCCAGAATTGTTGAAAAACCCACCTTTATTGCTAAAAATCCGCGCAATCTGCTGTTGCTTCGCTAGAGGTGGTATTTCTTCGATAGCCCGCACCACAGTTAAAGTGACCAGTTGGCCGACGGCGCGCGTGTCACGCTGGCGCGCATTTCGCAACACTAAAAGCAGGGTTGCACCGATTTGACAGCTCGTAGTTGGCGTATAGCACGTTTCCGGTCTTTCTTTCCCTTTTCTTTATCAGCGTGTGCAGTGACTAGTAAAAGGTTAGTGCGGTATTTTCAATAAAAATACAACCGAATGTAAGAGGAAACCGCTCAAATGGAACTATTTTCTGCCGCCCACAGATGCCTGCTCCGGTCGCCAAGAAGCCAGCAGCGAAAAAGCTGCCCGCCGTGCCGGAATCGAAGCTGAAGTTCAGCAAGAAACAAATCTCCAAGCGAGTGGCCGAGTCGAAACGTCGCCTGAAGAAGGCCGCCGTGATTGCCCTGCGCAAGAAGGAGAACCTGGTGCGCGCCGAGAAGTACCAAAATGAGTACATCAAGTCGGAGCAGCGCGAGATCAAGCTGCGTCGCTTGGCCAAGAAGCGTAACCAGTTTTACGTGCCCGCCGAGGCTAAGTTGGCCTTTGTCGTCCGTATCCGCGGGTGAGTCTAGTGATCCTCCACCCAAAAGCCACGCCAATTCATGCTCCCAATCCCATTGCCCACAGTATCAACAAGGTGGCACCCAAGGTCCGCAAGGTTCTGCAGCTGTTCCGTCTGAGGCAGATCAACAACGGTGTGTTCATCAAGCTGAACAAGGCCACCATCAACATGCTCCGCATCGCCGAGCCCTACATCACCTGGGGCTACCCCAATCTGAAGTCCGTGCGGGAACTGATCTACAAGCGTGGATTCGTGAAGCACAGCCGTCAGCGTGTGCCAATCACCGACAACTTCGTGATCGAGAGGAAGCTGCGTCAGGCGCACAACATTCAGTGCGTTGAGGATCTCGTCCACGAGATCTTCACCGTGGGTCCCAACTTCAAGTACGCCTCCAACTTCCTGTGGCCTTTCAAGCTCAACACCCCTACCGGCGGCTGGCGCAAGAAGGCCAACCATTATGTCAACGGTGGCGACTTTGGAAACCGCGAGGACCAGATCAACCGTCTGCTGCGCAAGATGGTCTAAGGACTCCTTTTGATGTATGTGCTGAAACGACAACTGCAGCGGTTCGATGTAAACAGTGAGAGAAATAAAAGTTACTTTTATAAACCCACGAAATGCCGTTCAGTACAAAAACGCAGTGTTTTCGATTCAATCCGCTGATTTCATCTTTTCGAGTTAAATTGGAAAATATAAGTGAAGTGAGGACCTTTTTAAGAAACATACAGGATTTTATTTTTCAATGTATATCCCGCCAATATATTTATACATTTTTTAGAACTTTGTTTAGAAAAGAAACCTGTTGTTTATTTTTTTTTTAAATGCTTTTACTGCAATGTATGCAATACTCAAATCTATATAATTTGAAAGCATTCAGTAAGGAAGTAATAGTATGCACTATAATTTGGCCCATTATTTGAAATGAAAACAGGATTCTTGTTAATTTGTCTACGCTCTAGATTGTTTATTGTTGTTCTGGTCAAATTTTAAGCGCGCTTAATGCACAGCACTTAAATGCAGATAGCAAGCTAGATTCAGGGTGCCAGGGTTAAAAATCGTTTGCCAATGTACGCTTTATTGAATCATGGTTTGCCTTTCAGCTGGCAGTGGATTTTAATAGTATTTTACACACACAATAGTCCAAAGCAGTTCGCAAACAAACATAAATGTAGATTCCACTAGCATGGAAATTAGTCAATAATCGGGGGGAGCTGCTGGCACCCTTTTAAATGTATAATTTAATTAATCGTTACCACATGATGCACATGCCGTTGTCCGCTGTAAGATTCCCGCTTCTACTGGTGTCCACCTGCCTGCGTGGTGGTCACGTGAATGTTCTGCACCAGCCGCTGGCCCCAGTACTCCTCCAAATCGAATGGCTTGAAGTTTTTCAGCTGATTATCGGATTCGTTGCAGTATAGCACAGGTGGGCCCTGTTCGTAGACCTGGTGAGAGAGCAAAGCATGAAGAGCGACCGACAATTTCGACCGGGGACCGCAAACCTTAATGGTTTTCACCTACAAAAAACTCTTGAATACCTTCAAAAAAAAATACGGATTTTACTCAAAATGGATGATTTTCGTAAGAAATCTCATAAGCCCCCTTAAAGTAACTAAGAAATGAAAAGTAGCATTGCCACTTACATTGGCCTACGCCCTCAAATATTCTAGTAGCATAAATTTTATACAATATTTCTAAAGAAGCTCTTGATGCAAACTGTGTAGGAAGAAGGAGTAATCAAAATCGAAAGTAAATAGTTAAATTCCAGTGACAGTTCACTATCCTTTCCCATTTCTCAAAACAAAAGATCGGAATGCAAAGTCTGAATAACTAGTAAGTGTTCACGGTCCCTGTTGTCCGCGGGCAAGAAGCGAAGCAGGGTGAAAAACGGGCGGCCTTCTGGATCCAAGTAAGCTGCTCACCTTGATCCATGCCTCTCGGATGTATCGGATGAGCTCGTCGTGCTGCGAGATCGGCAGGCTCTGTGGTTGCTGTTGCTGCTGTTGTCCGGCGGCGGACGCGTAAAGCGGATTGCTGTTATTGTGGCCACCAACGGACGGCGAGTTTCCGGCACTGTGGTTATTGTATCCCGGCGAATTGGTTGCCCCCGCCGCCGAGTTGTTGTTGTGGTGGTGATGGTAGCTGTGCGGTGCATTGTGCCCACTATTCTGCCGCCTTATGTTGTAGGGATAGCGTCTATAAGGTTAAAAATAATAAATTAAGTTTATAGAACGAATAGCTCCACTCATTTTATGAGAGCAAAACCTCTTTCTATTTTTAAAACTAATCAAAAGTTTGGACAATATAATTATTATGAGTTATGGTTTCATAAACGAATTACAAGATAAATTATTATTTTAATGCGTTTGAATATCATGCTTGACATCAGCAAACTTTAGTTGCAAATATTTTTTCAAAACTCTGTCTAAAAGTATGCCGCAATGTACATATTTGTTGTGCTGTATTGGAAGAAGAAATGTTTAAAACAATGACCTACTTTTATCAAAAGATTTATCTAATTTATTGATTTTAAATAAAGCCCCAAATGAACCGAATTACATACAAATCCTTAAACTCCGTATTTAAAATTTCTAACTCAGTAAGATCATTATCCATGGCAACCGTATACTACTAATCAAAATAGCTAATTAGGAAGGCTTCTTTCCAAAATATTTTCAATATTTAATTCTCATTTTAATATATAAAAAAATCCCAGTAACGGTTAATCGGCAGAAAGATCGCACATACATACAGACATGCCATGTATATACCCGTGGATGTGCGTATGTGTGTAAACACAGTCTTTTGTCGCTTGACGCACACAGGTTATTTTCGAGCGAAAGTAACAGTTTTGGGTGTGGGCACTGCTAAGCAAATACTTTACCCGTTATTTCGATCCATATTTCCTGGTGCTAGTGTAAAATTAATCTTCCCCAGTTGTCTTGTTTATCGCCGAAAATTTATTTATATTCCGAACAAATCTTTTCTCTTCAGTCGCAGTGTGACCGCGACTCAATGGTCCAAATAAACCAACAAATTGTACCAAAATACTGATTTACCGTAACGAATACCCCTAACGTCATTAAAGCCAAGCTTATTTAAATGAAATAAATAAAATGTTATGTGGTTTGAGTATATTCTCTAGGGAAAGATACAGTGATAGTAGAAATACAAGCATTTTAGCATAATAGCTTGTTTAATGGTTGGCATTTTTGTCCATAATTTTTCCGTTAATCTTCCTTATTTAAACGCTATTTATGCGAAATAATTATTTTACTCCGCGTTAATAACTTTTAAATGCATATTTTGTCTTCCTTTTTTACTATCCGAAATTACATCAAAAAATAAACTTATATGAATTCAATGGCGTGCTGAAGTGATGTCATTTTTATATTTTTAAAGCCCCTAAAAAATATTAGGTCAAACATTTTAGTCATTTATTTGGAAGTGAGTCAACAGATAATGGAATGTACATTTATATTTTGTTATTTAGTTTTCTTTTTGCGGATAAATCCGGTTGGACTCGTTCCGGATGCCATAGTCATCAGTACATTTATTTTTGTAAAATGCATAACATATTTTCAACTATCTCTAAAGTAAAGAAAGTTTCACGTACATATATTACAATACAAGAAATGATAAAAGAGATAAAAGTATTCCATTTACAGGTCATTTACAATAGTTCAACACGTAGATCTAAATAATGATGGTAAAACGTGCCATTCATCTTGAGCATTCAATTCTTTACACCAAATTTCAGCGCCTTTATCCAATTAAACTTATGTTGCGCAAATCCCACTTAGTTCGGGCTTCGTAACACTTGCAAGTAGCAGAGATTAAAGTCTTTCCTATTACACACATATAAAATCTTCAACCGTAGTCGAATGAGTTAAGCTGCTCCTGCACCTACAGTTACAGTGGTTTTCTAAATAGTTTGGCGTGCCTTTTTCTTTGAAAAAGGACTCGATTTGGCAACTCACGGCAAGTATTCCTTTAGCACACTCATAGATCATCGTCGCCGATGCCCTCAAACGCCCCGTTGGCCACACGTGCTCCATTGTCCACCACGTCGTTGCGGAAGAATACGGCTCCGAAGGTGCGCGAGGTGGTCAGCCGAGGCTTGGATCTGGTCGCCGAGTCCTCGGACAAAAACCTAACTGGCGGCGTTGTGGGCGCAGTGGACGTAGAACACGAGGAGGATGCCCACGTCGACGTGGAACAAGTTGAGCTGGGCGTTGATGAGGACGACGTGACTGCATTCTGCTCCTGCTCTTCGTCTTCGTCCTTTCCGCTGCCACAGCCCCGCTGTAACAGCTCGTCGACCATGGCCTGCAGGCATACGGACATCAGCATTGCCTGCTCACTGTTAATGGTTATCCAGCGCAGCGTCTGCTTGCCAATCAGATACTCAAAGGCCAGCTGAAGGTGCGAGGGTTGCAGCCTCGATTCTAGAGTGTTGTGTGTGACGCTGACGCGCCAC